GGTTAAGTGTGAAGTTTGCAATGTTCGAACAGCTGCTTCATTTCCTCTGGTCACTGGCCCGCAGCTGGACAGCAGGTGATATGCGTTCTCCAGAACCCCCCAGCTACCTGAAGGAGGAGGAGGAGGATGATGTGCCTTCATGTGGTCTTGACTGCCAACACCCCAAAGGCAGGCTCCAGAACGTCAGCTTCCAGTGCAGGTCGAATTCCCCTCGACTCTCCAGATCTCCACAACCTGTGAGTGTGACCTCGGGGTTCGGGGTTCAGGTTTCAGATTTGCGTTTGTCACAAGTTATGTAATTCCTTCCAGTGATGTGATGTAGCACTTTTCTTGACACTCCATTCATAAGCACTTAACAGGTAGCGGGGATCCCTTCCACCACCACTGGCAGTGCGTCTCCCCAACAGTTCAGAGGTGGGGGATATTAGGAGGCCAGGACACCGGGGTAACACCCCTACTCATTCTGAGAGATGTCCTGGGATTTTTAATGACAACGGAGAGTCAGGGCCTTGGTTTTACGTCTCATCCGAAGGACTTGGCCTTTTTTTACAGTCTAGTGTCCCCGTCACTATACTGGCACAGACTGCAGGGTGAGCGCCCCCTGCTGGCCCCACTCACACCTCTTCCAGCAGCAGCCTCAGTTTTCCCAGGAGTCTCCCCTCCAGGTACTGGCCAGGCTCACACTGCTGGGCTCCAGTGGGCTGGTAGTGAACAGCAGGGAGCTATAGGTACTGGCAACTTTTTGTCAAATGTAAATATTATTCATAAGAACACAGCAGTGTGGTTACTGTGGAGGTGTTTTTTTTTCCTCTATTATTTTTGTATTTGTAATTTCTACTGCTGTGAAGATGTAGTGAGCTCCTGCCTGCACTGGCTCTAGTTCACCACAGGGTGGTGCCCTCTCCGAGTTCACATTCGGTTTGGTCTGATTTAATAATGGGATTAATTTGAACGATGTGGTTGTACCAACCGGAGGCAGCCTTTGAACTATTGCGTTTCCTAATGAAAGTCAAATCCCACATCTTAAACTCTTGGGTCAAAAAAGTGCTAGAAAATGCTCCAAAGTCAGTCGGCTTTATTTTTTCAGTCTTCAGTTAGTGAGTAAATAGGCTGAGCTGTAGAGAAATCCAGCAGCTGGACAGGCACAGACTGTGGGGCCGCTGCTCTAAGAGTTTCTTGGGTAGCTTTCTGAGGACTTGTGCACACTGTAGGGACAGCACAGGCCAGAAGAGGGAATTACTGGACACGTTAGTATAGGGACAAGAAAAGAGAAGAAAGAAAACGTTTCAGCTGTGGAGGCTTCTTCGGGTTTTCACTTACACCTGAAGAAGGCTCCACAGTCGAAATGTTGTTTCCTTACTTCTCTCTTCAGCGGGGAATATACCTTTACTTGTTCCTTTGCAGCCCGCGCCTGCTGACGCAGCTCCCTACCTGAACTTGTTTGTGTACATGTATACAGAGATATGAAAGGTAACCGCGTGACTCCCAGTACCTGGATAAGAGCCTGAAGCAGGTGAATCTGCTGAGCAAGGCTCCGTGTGACTCCGCTGTCGAAGCTGGAGGGGCTTCAGCGCTGCGCTGGGAAAACCAGGAGTGGATCAGGCGGCTGTGGGACTCTGGTCTGTTTTCTTGTTATCCCTGTGTCACAGTTCTATTTTCTGAAAGGCTTTATTAGCACAGAAGGAAAGGGCATTCATCTCGCATGCAAAACACAGAGGAAACAAAACTCTAGTAAACTTGCTCTATTTTGGATCGACATCTTGGCCGGTGAGGTATTTTCATTATGAAAAGCGCTATAAAAACCGTGAGCCGTATCCGTGGTTTTAAAACGCAATTACAGGAGTCTTTAAGGAACGGGCTATGAAAGTTACAGTAGTTTTAGAAAGGCTGTAGGCAGGTTTATTTACTATGGTAAACTTCCTCTACAACTGTGTGCGTTGGGTGTAAGAACAGCCAGCCCTGCAGTCTTCGGCCGGACACTCCAACTGCTCCTGGAGCGCCGGCTCCACCTGGCAGGGCCGTGTCTGGAATAATGTCCCTGTTCCTTAAGAAGAGCAGCAACCCTGTGTGCGGTCTTGAATATTCACCACTCCTTGAGAGAGAAATCTGGGGAATCGGTCCGGAAGTCACGCCTGTGTGTCGATCTGTGGCTGGAAGAGGAGAATCCTTCGCACCCTGACGTATGCCCTCCCCTCACTCCTCATACTCCCTCCATCACCTCTGTCACGCCTCCCTCTCTCCTATCTCACACCTCCTTCCTCTGACTTCTCTCATTCCGCATCGCCTCTTCTCTTTCACCCTCCTCCCCTTCCTCATCTCACTTCCTCTTACTCGAACTACTTCCTCTTCCATCTCTCGCCTCCTTCCCTCGTCAGCCTCAGTCTGCTTACAGCCTCCTCTCTCTCTCCCCTCCCGAGCCTCACTGTCCCTACAGCCTCCTCTCTCTCTCTCTCTCCCCTCCCGAGCCTCACTGTCCCTACAGCCTCCCCTCTCTCTCTCTCCCCCGAGCCTCACTGTCCCTACAGCCTCCTCTCTCTCTCTCCCCTCCCGAACCTCACTGTCCCTACAGCCTCCTCTCTCTCTCCCCTCCCGAGCCTCACTGTCCCTACAGCCTCCTCTCTCTCTCTCCCGCCCCTCGCGCCCGTCAGCACTGCAGCTGGGGGTCGGTGAGGCGGCGCCACAGGGCGATGGTCTGGGAGGGGCTGCGCCGGTGCACCAGCAGGAGGTGGCGGTGAGCGCAGGGCTCGGCGCGGTCCTTCTCCTCGATGTCGAAGGTGCGGAAGCCGGGGTGCGTGGAGGGGGCGACGCCGAGGCGCAGCAGGCACATGCC